TTTTTTTAAATGTATATAATGTATGCATTTATGCATAATATGTATTTTATGAATGACACACGTGTGTGCGTTGCATATAAACTAATCGCATGATCATTTCTGGTTTAATTATTGTAATGTTATCTTTGTATATATATATATGAGAGAAATGGATATATTAAAAATATAAAACCGATGAAACATGCGTTATTGATTATTTATAAAACGCACTTATATATATGTATGTATGTATGTATGTATTTACATAAATCTCGAGGATAAATACCTAGAGTTATATTTTCTCAGAGAATATATATGTATGTATGTATGTATATATATATATACGATTATTAATTTAGGACTAATGGAGAAACAACACAAGCTTCACATAACTCGATCGCCTTATATTATTATATTCTATATATTGAAAGAACTTAATTTTTCAATCATGAAAAACCTTTTTATTACCTACGCGAATTGTAATTATAACGATATTGAATATACGCTATTATTATTATTATTATTACTATTATCTTTCTCACTATGTTAAAAGAAAATTTCGTTATTGGGATCTCTAGCATTTGAATACGCTGTCTGGTGGCTAAATTCAAAATTAGAGTAGATAGGTTCGAATTGCTATTACGCCACGTGGGATCTCTAGCACTTGAATACGCTATCTGGTGGCTAAATTCATAATTAGAGTAAATTGGTTGAATTGCTAAGCCACGCCACGCCCCTTGCCAGAGATCCCAATACGTTTAATGTTTTCTTATTATTCTGTGAGAGATAATTTGTTATCTTAATTTGAGGATTTGAAACAACAACAAAAAAAGAAACATGTGTGCAGATCACACGTGACAGAAGTGAAATTTTCAAAAAGAAAAAAATCTATAAGTTTCGAGAGAATCAGATGAATACAAAATATCTGGTGTAGGATTAATTGTATTCTTTTCTTATTTAATATCGCGGCCGTTTGTTTCATCGTTTCCCACCACCGCTTCGTTACATAGCCGCCTACCGCTCCGTTACATAGCCGCCGCCTACCGTTTCGTTACATAGCCGCCACCTACCGCTCCGTTACATTTTTTTTTTT